AGCAGAAGCAGAAGCAGAAAAAGAGCGTGATCAACCGTCGAGGAACACGAGTAGCCCGGCTCATGCTCGCGCACAATGGGAGTCATAAAAAGATTAACGACTGCGTCGGCCATTCGATTTGCTTTATATGTGACACGTAACAGTTTTGTTGCCCCGATTGCATCGATTAGCCCATAATTGGACTGTGTGGAGTAGCTTTAATTCGGGAATCGATTAGACTCGAGCTAGAGGCATTTCATTTTACTCGATCCGCCAATGACAGAAAGTTAGATTGTTATCTAATTCCATTGGGAGCCATCAAGTGCCTAGTCCATTGCATGTTGCGTATACGCAGAGTGTATCTGTTCCACCTTCCTCTGGACCCATTTACCTGCATGGCAATGGCAATTTCATGATAATTGAATTGCGAGCAATTTAAAGTTCAATTTGACGGGGCATCGCGAGGAAATGTCTGTCCACGGTCCCAGTGCGTTGAGTACGTGCCGAAGCTTCGCTTTCAGCTTCACAGATCATTTGATATTCGAGTTGCCCTGCCCTGTCCCCAGATTCGCGCTCTTGGGAACACCGATCGCCCATCGAACATCGTCCATCCTCCATTGTGGCTGGTGTCGCTGCCCTGTCGTTTGCTCTGTAAATAAATCACTGCGAGTGCTTTGGGAGTGTTGTCGGAGTCATTTGCGCAATTTACAACACTAACCACGGACGTTTGACAAGTAATTAACTCGCTCTCCTTCCAATTTGCCCGCAGACGTTTCTTGCTGGGCGTTTGGCCTAAATTACTTTTCACTATTTCCCTTTCGCATACCCTACAGCCTGCTGGAAAGTGGGCATATTAATTCATTGTACCTCGCAAACAAGACTATTCATGTAAGAGCTTCAGGGTGTCTCATAGTTCCGACCATGAACTTTTTCCAAGTGGACTACATAATCTGCAAATTAAAATATATTACTTAAATGAATTATCTTGTTCTTCTCAATTGACCTCACTTTCTGAATATTGATCAAACGACGAGGATGAAAATTCTTAGTTTCTCAAACCCGGAGCTAATTTCCCCGCTCTCCTCAAAACATAGATATTCAAACCAACCAGTTTTAAATAGTGTATGATAATGATCTATTCGGATTTCTTGTGGATCAAACTGGTTGCTTGACGTGTTAAAAGAAAAAACAAATGTGAAATATAAAATCTATTCATGGCTTACACAGAATGACGTACATATATGCATTTTTCATCAACATTTTTGATTAACAAAGTATAAATAGATA